ATATATGAAAAATTGATGTGGGTACTCAAATGAAAGGTCTTGATAAGTGTAACATCGGGATGAGCTTATATCTTTAAAAATGTCAATAGTTTGTCATTGCAATGTCAATTGCAAGACCTTTGCAATGACACAAAATTCACTAATAATTAAATAAAAGTTAATAAAATAATTATTAAAAAAAAAATGACCTGCATGCGAAAAACTTCAGCTTCTTTTGGAAAAAGCCGGGCAAAATACTGATAAACTTGTTCGGAAGTCCAATCAGAGGCATCTGGTATATTTGGATCAATAACAGAATCACGTGGTATTGTTTCATCTTCAATAGCCTCCAAAGATTCTCTAGACGGTGATACCTGTGGACTCAATACTGGAGGTAAAGTAGGGGTTTGCGGAGGCGTTTCTGATCTGGGGGCTGCTGCAGGCGTTGTAATTGAGGCTGTCGGGGTTGTTGATGCGGTAGAATTGGTTGTTAAGGCAGTCGAGGCTGTTGGTACTACGGTGGTGACGGTCTTGCTGGGTTGAGGCTTGCATTCGCAGCATTGCCATTTAGATCCTGACCTTATCACGCGCGGCGTATGACACGAGTAGTGATACGCGTCGTCACACGTGTAGCAGGTCAACAAAGGTCCCTTTGAATTCGTAAAATTATTCAATTAATTATAATTACGGATCATTATCCATTATACTAGTTTATGTTAATGACAGTATATTAATTAATAATTAATTTTAGACTTACTATGTCTGAAGTTTCACAGCAAACTGTACAACTTTTGCAGCGCTCGCATTGCCAGCTGCTCCCTGTTTTAAGAAGTAAATCGTCCGGGGAATAAATACAACTTGGATGCGCTGAAAAAAATTTTTTTTAATTATTAAAAAATTCTAGATGTCGGCTAACTTAATTTTCGTTAATAAATTACCTCTGACAGTACAATCACGACAAGGAATAAGACTCTCAGCTTTATCTTTATAACAAAGGCTGCATTTTCTTCCAGTTTCTTTAACACTTGGCTTCGAAGAAGTCGAATCCTGGGAATCCTGAGTAGTAACTTGCAAGCTGGCTTTTGTAGCCGCAGTTGCGTATCTTCCTCGCTTGCGTTTTACTACATTATTATCCGATGGGTCAAATACTTTTTTGGCTCTCTGAAAATCAAAAATCAATTATCATTTACCATTTAACAAAAAAAAAAAAATTATGACTGACATTGAAAATTTTTTTACTATAATTTTTTAGCAACTACAAGAAAAATTTTATTAAAAAATTCCACATGTGAAAATAAAAAAATTGACAGTTGTCAACTGACTAGTATCATAAAAAAAATTAATGAAAATTAAATCAGCTGACATTTTTAACAAAAATATTTTTAAAAAAATTTTTGAAAAATTACAAGTAGAATTTTTTAAAAGTATTTTTTTACTTGTAATTTAATTGCTAAAAAAAATCAAAATTTTATTATTATAATTTTATAGCAATTAATACAAAGAAAAATTTAACGAAAAAATTCTACATGTGAAAATAAAAAAAATAATCAATGTAAATTTTTTAAATAATTTTTCTTGTTGTAATAGATTTTTTATAAAAATTAACAGTTGTCAGCTGACTTTAATATCATAAGAAAATTAAATCAGCTGAAATTTGAAAATTTTTATAAGATTTTTTTAATAAAAAAGAAAATTTTGAAAAATTACAAGTGCAATTTAAAAAAAAATATTTTTTACTTGTAATTTAATTAAAAAAAAAAAAATGAAAAATTTTTAAACATTGTTTAATTTGAATATAAAAATTACCTTCCGTCTCGCACTGCGAAATCCTCCAACAGGATTCGACAAAGTCGGCGAAGGATTAGCGGAACTTCTCTCAGCCTCAGCTTCCTCATCCTCTTTCTCGCTCAAATTTTCACTGTCCTCCTTCTCCTTCTCCTTCTCCTTCTCTTTCTCCTTAGCCTTCTCCTTAGTATCATTAAACTTGCTCTCGTACTTAATTTCATCAAACTTGATTTCAATGTCCATAGAGTCATCAGCTCTAACCATCAAGCGTTGTTTACGCTCAGACTTAGCCGAGCGTTTAAGGTTAGAAGTGATGACCACTTCAGTTTTGGGTTCTTTTTTCTCAGCTGTATCATTTGACATCGCCATCGCTGTCGCCATTGGAATATTGTCCTCAGTGCAAAGTACCAGGTCATCCTTGGTACCTGATTCTTCAGGAGAGTTCGGTTCTTTCACAGCAACTGCGACTTCAAAACATTGCTCACGCTTGCTGGCAACCGTTCCAATACTCCCATTATTATTATTATTATTATTATTATTATTATTACTCCCAACAACAAGTCTTGAGCTAGTAATTTTCGGCGTGCTTGATCGTGAGTCAGTCATTAATAAATTATTGTCGTAATTGCAATTCAATCCTGAATTAGGATTATCATTATTAATATTACCACTATTATTACAATTAATAATATTAATATTAATATCGTCACGTGAAAATTTTTTACTACCAGCAATCACTTCATTGTCCATGTGGTTGTTGGTAATTAAATTAGCTCGTGGTGGAGGCGACGAAGATGAAGACGATGAAGAAATAGTTGAATTTAACGTCGTATTGCTGGTGTCACTAGTAGCGACTAGAGAGTAATTACCATTGGCTGATCTAATGATATTACCGCTTGCGACTTCTTTATTAAGAAAATCCTCGACCATTTTACGCGAGGTCGGGTTGGAGATTCCGTCTAGCAGATGTTCAATCAGCCGGAATGGAGGAACTCCTTGGTCTAAGTAGTCAGGCTCCTCGATTACCAGCTCAGCTACCGCTCCAGCAACTGAAGCAGAGCTCAGTTTGTCCTTGACGAATCCTTCGGGTCTGTTCTTGTACAGCTGCAGTCGGGACCACTTGGACGCATTGCGGTACGAGGTGTTGCCTTTGTAGTCCACCTGGATCACCTTCTCAGCCTCGATCAGACGATGAAGATCTGCTATGGTGTCCCTCGCGTCGACACAAAATTTTCTCAGTAAATAATTGCAAATACGGTCGGCGTCTGGACGCGCTTTTCGGCGACGTAATTGGTCAATTGCTTCTAAAATTTGCTCTTCGTAAAGAATTTGAGCTTCTACTCTGTGCTGCTGCATATTAGATTTTTTTTTTCTTTTGTATTATTTTATTATTTAATTATTTGTTATTTCTCTCGGTTAATTTTTTTTATTTTATTCTAGTGTTATTTTTATTTTTTTTAAATTTAGTATCAATCGCGGGTATCAAGATGTCGCCGTTTCTTCATCGGTGTTTTACTCGCCGGTTTATTTTCTCTATTTTTTTTTTATTCTGTTAATGAAAAAAAAATTTTTAGTTAATATTTTAATTACTGTAAATAAATATATAAAAATTAATAAAATAAAAAAAGAATAGAATTAAATTAAAAAAAAATTTTTAAAAATATATTTATAGAAAAACGTCAAGGCTAACACGAGTAAATGACCAAATCGAAACTTAGACACCGTTTTTTAATAATTAAAATAAAAGAAAACTATAGAGCGAAAGAAAAATAATAACTTAATTAAATAAAATACTTAAACTTACATAAATAAGAATAGCTGAAAAACAATTACACGTGGAGTAACCTAATGCACTAGGGCGTATACGCGTCTTACAATAAAATATTAATGACAGAATTAAAAGAATAACTTGCGCGCTTACTCAGCTGACACATACACACTTATAATTTCACCGCTTATGTCGATGAATTTATAAGTAAGATATGTGCTTTTACTACACTGTATTATATTGCAAAGTGCAATGAGTATGTCAGCAGCTGAATAAAATGCCTTGTGCTTATTACAAGAGCGAAATGCTAACTGAATAAAATTTAGTGAGCACAGCGCCAATTTACACACCAATATCTCTTTTTATATGTTTATAATATGGCTACATGTGTATTAATATGTCACTGTGTGTGTAAGCGGCCCGGGCGCGTACGCGTATGCAACATGCAATTACAACTTTATACAAATGTTGTATCAAAGTTAGCTGTCACTTGACCATTTTTTAATTTTAACAAAAAAATTAAGTTTTTAATTTATTAAAATTTCTAAATGTTTATTTTTTTATGCAGTAAATTATTATTATTTGTTTATTGATTATTATTTTATTTAAAAAAAAATTTAATTAAAAAACTCCACATGTAATTAATGAAAATAAAGTTAGCCGACATTTAAAAATTTTTATGATTTTTTTTTATTAAAAAATTATTAAAAAAAAATTTTTTTATTTGTTAAAAACTTCAAAAACTATCAGTGCAATTTTTTAATTGTAATTTAATAAATTAAACAAAATAAAAAAATAAAAAATGTCGGCTCACTTTATTATTATAAAAATTAATAAAATTTTTAGAAACACTTTTTTATTGTAATTGATTTGTTAAAAAAATTTTTAAAATTGACAGCTGACGGCTAACTTCAGTATTGTTTATTGTTAATATGCAATAACAATAATAATGATAACAAATGCACGTAATGCGAATGTAAGATGTAAAAAGTAAAACTGTCAAACTACCCTTGGTAAAAATGTCGATAGCGTGCTCGGTTGCTGACTAACTAATTTTTTTTAACTTGTATAATTTTTTTTTAGGAAATACTTTTTTTTTCGCTGATGAAGAGGATTGATGCAGAAGTTGAGTATGTGCGCGCTGATGAGTAATTTTTACTTGCGCGTAGTTTTAGTTTGAGAACGAATAAAATGAACGTTGGTCAGAAAAGAAACTAGGAGTTGGAAATTTATTTTAAATTAAATAACTAGGTTAGATAATAATAATAAATAAAATAAATAATGAAAAATACTTACTTAATTAATAATATTAACAATGACGTTTGTATGATCGATAATAATCTTGAATAATCACACGTGCGCTAGTAAAGCTTTTACAATGTGGGCGCTCCGGGCGCGGTTTCTCTCTCTCTCTCTCTCTTCTTGTGGATAGGAGTAAGCGTACAACTCGGTCACTTTAACGACTTATTATGTATGTGTGTATATGAGCAATAATAATGTTTAATAAAGTTTTGATTATTGCTTATTGTAGTTTTATAAATTTTTTAACTCTCCAGAAATTTCTGAATTTTTTTATATTACTGGTTGTAATAAAATAAAATTAACGCTCAGATAGTAATGAGTTGTAAGTACTTGTACGGCAACAAAAACTATGACTGTAACCCGCCGCAAAGATCTTACGCGATTGCGAACGAAGGTAGTTCAGAAAATTGCCGCGTTGGGTTTATAAATGAAAATAGTGAGGCGCTGTTTGAGATTCTTCTGCGCAAGCGTGTATAAATTGCACTGCGCATAATTGTGTATTGAGCGCGCGCATAGACGCTAGACGCGTCTTATTTTCTCCGAACAGCTGATTGTTATTTTGAATTTTATTTCCCGCTAAAATCTTAAATTTAGTAAAAAAATTTTTATTAAATACATTTTTAAAAAATTATAAAAAATTTTAATTAATTAATTAAGTAAATTGATAATACTTTGATTAAAAATATGAAAATAATTTTTTGAGTTTATTTTAATAATTTATTTTCCTTCTCGGGAAATCTGAAGCTTCCGGTGGGACGCAGAACAAATTTGGAAGTCTGAAAAAAATATTATTATTATTATTCATGATATTCTTGTGCTAGGTTAGTTTAATAATTAATCAACTTACTAAATTAATCGGGTTTACTTTAGCAACTGGAGTATTTTGTTCGGTTAAAACACCGGGTATTTTTTTCGAGCTCTCGCTCTTTGATAAATCTTGTTTCACAGGTTCCGACCGACGAGAATGTCCAGGTTTATTGATCGGCTGTGACGATAAGCTCAGCCGGTGAGAAACTTCTTTTATTTTATTTACTCGTGGAGATGATTTAGGTGTCGTAGGTGAAGATATTTTTTTAACTTGAGAACTGTAAATTAAAAAAAAAATTAATTAATTAAAAATTAGCGACCTTGCAGTCACTATGTGACTGCTATCACTTGTCAACTATAAATAAATTTTTGCTTTATTAAATAATGACTTTTGTTAAATTGCATTGTACTTTTTTAACTATTGACATTTTTAAAGATATAAGCTCATCTCGATGTTACACTCATCGAGACCTTTCATTTGAGTACCCACATGCATTTTTATATATTTTTCATATATACATATATGTAATATATATAAATATATGAAAAATTGATGTGGGTACTCAAATGAAAGGTCTTGATGAGTGTAACATCGGGATGAGCTTATATCTTTAAAAATGTCAATATTTCACAAGATATTTGTTAAATTGCACTGTATTTTCTTAAATATTGATCTTTTTAAAGATATAAGCTCACCCCGATGTTACACTCATCAAGAGCTTTCATTTGAGTACCCACATGTATTTTTATATATTTTTCATATATACATATATGTAATATATATAAATATATGAAAAATTGATGTCGGTACTCAAATGAAAGGTCTCGATGAGTGTAACATCGGGATGAGCTTATATCTTTAAAAATGTCAATAGTTCGGAAGATACGAGGTCATTTCTTAACTATTGACGTTTTTAAAGATATAAGCTCATTCTGATGTTACACTCTTCAAGACCTTTCATTTGAGTATCCACTTGCATTTTTGATATATTTTTCATATATAGATATATATAATATATATAAATATATGAAAAATTGATGTGGGTACTCAAATGAAAGGTCTTGACGAATGTAACATCGGGATGAGCTTATATCTTTAAAAATGTCAATAGTTCACAAGACACAAGGTCATTTCTTAATTATGCATCTAGAGATACATTTCGAATGCAGCCTAAATACTGATCATCATAAATTGGCTATTGATGAGAATGATATGAAACTTTGAAAATGCACAACTCCAGGTTAATACACCGGCCACAAAATTTTGCTTATCTCTTAATATTATAGATAATTAAATAAATAATAAAAAATAATATTTTTTACCGTTCATAAGAATTATTTTTATTTTGAATCCGGGGACTGACTCCTGGAGTAACTCGAGGACTAGACCCTCTAGGAGTCTTGGGAGTGACCATCGGAGTCTTGGGAGTAACCGGCGAAATACTGCAAGAAGGTCTCGGGCTTTTAGGAACCGGCAAACTGGAGCGAGTATTCTTATAACCCCCTTCTGGAGTGGAAGCAGCCAGAGGTTTAGTCTTGGGAGGTTTCTTCAGGCAATCTAGAACCTCCTCTCCAGTATTAGGAGTGCTGGTTTTACCAATAGAAGCGCGGGCAGACTTCGGAGGAGTCGTCGGAGCAACGCGCTTCCCCAGGGAAGCGCGTCGGTGCATATTACCCAGGGGGATCACCGCTTTCAGCGGACCCTTCTTCGTAACTTCAAGAGCTTGCTCTGGCTTTTTACGTAGTTTACTCTTACCAATTACTGGAACAGGTTTAATTTTAACAGCAACTTCTTGCTGAACTTGGGATTTAGTTACTTGGTACGCGGATGACGACAGCCGGGATTTAATTTCTTTCTTCGGACTGTCAGCACGTACGCTCCGGCCAACCGAGCTAGATCTGCGCGAACTACCCGTATAAGGTATCTGCGTCATCGAGGTCCGTCTTTTTAATCCGAATGATTTTTTAGTCGGGCTGTCTACACTTCTGCGGGCAAGAGATGAAACCGAGCGGCTTAATCCCGGATTTTTCATCGGAGACACACGTGCTGTTTTTACTGGCGAGGTTGCCGGAGTTTTTTCGCTCGACACAATACTGCTAAACACGCTGTTAAGTTTTTTTAGTAATAATTTAGGCTGTCCCACATTTTCTGACAATAATTTTTCAAGGGATTCTTGTATACCCGCTATTAATTTTAAAGTACTGCTATTTTGACTTTTATCTTTTGAATCTGACGAATTTATACTGTCTCCTTTTGAAATATTTTCTTTTATAGTATCATGAGTAAAATCGCTGGATTTAATGCTTGTGTCCTCAAAATTGTTACTATTTTTATCTTTATTTAAAGAACTTGAGGTACTTGAATTCATAAAAATTTCCAATAAATCAGCGTTACTCTGACATTTAACTCCCAACATTTTCTCAAGATTTTTCAGCAATTCAATAGCCTGAGAATTATTTTCAGCTTTTATTAATTTCTTTAAATCCATCAGCAGACTGGCAGCGGCTGGCTTATTCTCAGCGTCAATTAGTTCTTTCTCCAACTCACGTACCACGTCGACAGAGCTATTGTCATTACTCTTAAGATGTGATTGCGATGAAGACTGTACTTTATCGGCGGAATTAAATCCCGTACTGTTCGAGGTATCCGAGGATAACTCAATCAAGTTTTCTACTCGTACTTCGTTATCCGTTAATACCTCACTATCGCTAGGAATTCTTGAAGGTAATTCATCACTATCGCTCGCTGAAATTTAATAATATAATTTAGTAAATAGTGAGATAAATTTTTCGATAAATTACTTACACTTATGTGACTTGGTAAGCATTTTTTCAAGCTTATCTGCTATTAATCTCGCATCATTCGCTCGATCCCAATTTTCATCCTGCAATTATATAAATAGATTGTTAAAATAAAAAAAATTATTAATTTTTCAAATAAAATCCTTGCAGTCCCTATGTGACTACTGTGACTTGTGAATTATAAATGAATAAAATTTTGCTTTATCAAATAATGAATTTTGTTAAACTGCACTGTAATTTCCTAACTATTGACATTTTTAAAGATATAAGCTCATCCTGATGTTATACTCATAAAGAGCTTTCATTTGAGTACCCACATGAAATTTTTTATATATTTTATATATATGGTATTTGTGAAATATATAAATATATAAAATATATGAAAAATTGATGTGGGTACTCAAATGAAAGGTCTCGATGAGTGTAACATTAGGATGAGCTTATATCTTTAAAAATGTCAATAGTTCCCAAGATACGAGGTCATTTCTCAATTATGTATCTAGAGATAGAGCAATACTTACAATAAATACAGAATCTGAAGTAATATTATGATTAATAATAATCGCTTCTGGATCAAAAACTGAACCAGTTTCATTTCTTTCCAAAGACCCCAGCAAAGACTTTGATTTAAGCAAACTAAGTTTCGCTTTCAGATCAGAAATCTCAGCAAAAGACGTCGAGAGTCGTGAATTTATTGATTTTCTTACAGTATCATTTTCTATAAGTGATTTGCTGGCGATAAAAGCCCGGTTTATTTTATTATAGGTGTCAGTAGAAGATCCACCCGATGCAGAGCTAAATTTCCTTATGAAAGAAATATCAGAAATTGTATCACGACTTGAATTAAGAAACCCGTTGTTCAGCGGGTTGAGTAAAGTATCTCTAGAAGCAAGCTCAAGCTCTTGAAGACTTTTATCCAATCCAACACTCGTTGCCGAGTAAGACCTGGAAGACTTGGAGTAGTGAGGAGAGACGTGACAACCTTGAGACAACGACCGCTGGTGATGATACCCTTGATTTTTCCTAGCAGCCTCAGCTTGTTTGAGTCCTTGCTGGACACAAGAGGCGAGTCGCTGGGCAGCTATAGATTTTATTGGACAATCATCAGAGTTGGTCCCCGACAAGCTGTCGTTAAGCGTCGACTGGTTCAAGATCGACTGGGATAATTCAAAGTTGGGTGACTCAATGTCGCTGGCCAGCCGCTTTAAATACCTCTCGGTGCTCGGTCGCCCCGTGACTGAAGAGTCCAGCAGAAAACTGTCATTCAGGCACGACTGGTCCAGAATCGAGAGCTCGTGGAACTCTGGAGTAGGTGGCTTCACTGAAATCACCGGGTTTTTTGATTTAGTCACATTTTTGGGGACTGAAGTGACCGATGGAGTGACAAAACCATCAGCTGTTTTATTTAGCTTATCCCCGGTTGACCTACATGACTTCCTGGTGCTGTTCATTGACTTTTCCCAGACTATCTCAAAAGGGTCTTGGGATTTACTGACAAACTCGCTCGTTTTCCGCAGCGCAGAGTCGAATGGATTGTCATCCAAGTTACCACAAGCTTCTAAATTGATTATTGGATTATTTATATGCTTAGATTCACCTGGGTTGCCCTTATCATCCGGTAAAGGGATCAACGGTGACGTAAGTTTAGGAGGTTTTATCTTTTTCTCCTCTGGACTGGTAAGATCTATCAAATCACTCATTTTTTATTTTTTTTTTTCTTGATTTTCAATGACAGAAATTATTTATTAATTTAATAAAAAATATTAATATTATTATTATTGTTGTTGGTGTTGTTATAGACCGTTTAAAATTATTAACACCTGATTGGCTGACATATTACATCTAAAAATAAAATAACCTGTTATAATAATTTATTTACACTCTGAAAATAATTAATTCATTTTTGATTTTTAACTTACGGGCAATAAATAATTCAGAGCATGATTGTGTAATAAAACAGCTGATTAATGAACACTAAATAATTAACCACTAAACTGCAAATTATGTTTGTATGTACATACATAAATATTTAACGGCAGGTAAAATGCCAAAAAAAAAACGTCAACACTTTTTTTGCCGGCCATGACCGGGAACTAGCGCCATCTTGCGGAGGAGAATCTTTTAAATGAAAAAAACAGTATGGCGATTACACGCTCATCGGGTAGATCTTAATTGACTGACAATTGAAATAAAAGGGTTTAATGTCAGACTAAATATCAATTAACGCCGAATCCTTGGCGTAATTTAATTACTTATATAAAAAAAGTACAGTACTAAAAATAGAAATCATAATAAAGTAAGCCGATATTTTTTTTTTTGCTCCATTTATTAAATTAGAACTAAAAAATATTTTTTAAAAATTACACTTATAGTTATGAGAATAAATTTAGCAGATGTTTATTAATTTTTAGAATTTTTTAATAATACTCAAGTTAGCCGACATTTTTAATTTTTTTTCAATGATTAAATTAAATTAAAACTAAAAAATATTGCACTTATAATTTTTTAAGTTCCTTACAAATGAAAATTTTTTTTATTTTTCTGTAGTGATTTTTTCAATAAAAAAAAAATTCTAAAAATTTTTAGATGTCGGCTAACTTTATTTTCATATTTTTTTAACAAATAAATAGTGGCAAAAATAAATAATTGAACAAAAATAATATTTTTTATTAAAAAAAAATTCTTAAAATGTTTATATGTCGGCTAACTTAATTTTTATCAAAAATAAATGAGAGAAAAAAATTGACATGTAGAAATTAAAAAAAAAATTATAAATGCAATTTTTTAAAAATAATTTTTCATAAAAGATTTATTTGTTGAATAAAATTAAAAAATTATCAAGTGACTGCTTTCAATGTCATTTTATAGTTTTTTTGTGATATTTTTAAATTAAACAAAAAATTTCAGTATTGCAAAATAGAAAAAAAAAAAAACGTATCCGCGATAACGATAATTGAAAAAAATTCGATACATGGAGTTAAAATTTTTTTATTTTAACTTTTTATATCATCGAATGTCAGCATAAAGCGAAAATGGAAAAATATCTAATTGAAAACGCAGAGGTAAAAATAAACTTCGATTATATGGGGATAATTTACTGGCTCGTAAAAAAAAGACGATCAACAAATTAGTTAGTTTTTTTTTCTCTATCAGTAAAAAAAGCCATCCCCATAATGCGTAAATCAACCAATCGGATTCTTATGCTCATAGCTGACGGTAGAATCCGCGTAGGCGCAGAGCAAAAAAAAACCATCTTTACTCTGACTGTAACTCTCCTCTACACTCGTTTTTTCTTACACTCCCTGTGTCTCGTTACTTATGTATTTTTATTTTATGTATTTTATCTATATATATTGAGAAAAACAAATATCCTTCGAGTATTAAAGTGCGACAGGCTGCTTATGATATTGGATATTTTTTTATCATTATATAATTTATAATAAATGACATTATTATAATTATTATTTATCCATGTATTTTTCATTGCAAGAGCATTTATTTGAGATTGATTGATGGAGGATGAAGGACAGAGACAGAGACATTTTCCAAAGTATAAGGATAATTATATTATTATTTTTTACTGTGTACCGATCGCTGGAATTCGCACCACACACACAAGGTCACGCGTCACCTATTGGTAGCTGTAGTTGGTGTTATAGGACACGCTGTCAGTTTCAGCTTTCAGCAGCTTTCAGTATCGCTTTGGTCTCTCTAACGTGCGTGTCTCTGCACCCTTCCGTTCATCAGCTTACTCGTGCTTTCTTGTGTAATGGACATCAAACATACCCGATTGCATTTAATTAATAAATCGGGTGAAATTAGCCGAGTGTCACTTACAAATTTTTAATTCTTTCTACACAATTTAAATTTAATTATTTTTATGTAATAGTTCTTTTAATTAATTTAAAGTTTCTTAACAATAGGCCGAGCTCTTCCTTTGTTTAACTCAATTTTAGTTATTTTATTTTAATTATTATTATTATGATACTAAAGTTAGCCGACGTTTTTAATTATTTAATTTTTTTTTAATAATTAAATTAGAACAAAAAAATATTTATAAAAAATTTCACTTAAAGTTTTTGGAGTTTTTTACAAGTGACATTTTTTATTTATTTTTTTCTAATAAAAAAAAATCTAAAAATTTTTAAGTGTAGGTTAATTTAATTTTCATATTATTATTTTTTATTATTGTGAATCATAAAAAAAAATTAATTTAGCAGATATTTAATCATTTTAGAATTTTTGTTATAATAATAAAGTTAGCCGACATTTTTGATTTTTTTATTTCGCTTAATTTATAATTAAAAAAAATTTTTTAAAAATTCCACTAGTTTTTGAAGTTTTTAACAAAAAACATTTTTTTTTTATTTTTTTGTAATTATTCTTTAATATAAAAAATCATAAAATTTTTTAGATGTCGGCTAACTTTATTTTAATATTTTTGTTAACAAATAAATTATAGTAAAAAAAAAATTAAAAAAAAATAGACACGTAGAAATTTTAAAAAATAAAAAATTGGTCAAGTAACAGTTTAATGTCATAAAAAATTATGAGATTGAAGTTAGCAGTCCCTTAATAATTTTTTAATTTTTTTTTAACAAACAAATTTGTTCCTGAAAATAATTTTAAAAATATTGCATTTTTTCATTTTTTAAATTTCTACATGTTATTTTTTTTTCCATAATTTATTTGCTAAAATTATTTTTTTTACAAATAAATTATGGCAAAAAAAATAAAAAAAATTGACATATAAAAATTTAAAAAAATAAAAAATGCAATTTTTTAAAAATAATTTTTTGGAACAAATTTTTTTGTTAAAAAAAAATCAAAAAATTCTCTAGTGACTGCTAATTTTAATGTTAAAAAAAAATAATTAAAATTTAATAAATATCTGTTAAATAAATTTTCATAAAAAAGTTTTGTTTGCGCTAGAATAATTTTTGGTTTAATTTTAGACTAGAGCTAGCGGATAGACATGGATTTGAATCAACAAGTTGCTGATATCTATGCAAATATTTTCCGCGGTGTTACAATAATAAAGTTTAAATAAAAACCAATGAGTATGAAGCTTTTTATTATTATTAAATTATCTGCTCTTGATGGACGTTATAAAAGGAAAATAATGAAATATTGACAGCAGAGTGGAGTAGGGAAAATATATAACAAAGTATTTTTCCTTTTAATGTTTTTATTTATATGAAAAACATTAAGTGTGTGTTCAGTTGTGTTGCGTTAAAAGCATTCTCGGGAATTAATAAAAGAGGGTTAAGGTTTTCTTTTATTATTTTTTTAGTCCGGGTTTGATCATTATGGAGAATGCTGATAAAAAAAGGCGGTTTTAATTCCCTGGAATAATACCTGGACAATAACTTCAAAGTAATAGCTTCAACAAGTAACTCTTTATTTTAATTTTAATTTAATTTTTTTTTGTTCCTTATTACGAATTTATTTTCATCAGTGAGGAAACAATTGAGTGACGTCAATGCAAATTTGCGCGCAAATAGTTGCATGGGCATGGGACTACTTAATGATAGGCAGAACTCCGTACTCTGTTCAGAATGTAAGTTAATAATATTAAGTTTGTTATTTTGTTAGTGGTTATATAATTGTATCATTATATGTTGATATAATAGTTGCACAATAGACTAGATGGGTTCTCCTTTACGTGGTTGTTACTTAAGGTGTAGGTACTTTGCTATTGAAGTCCCAAGGCTAATTATGTCAAGTTATTTTCAGACTTGCGTGACATTAAAATGTTAACAGGTAAACTCGAAAAAAAAAAGATTAATACAATGGTATCGAAAAAATAGTCGGGAAAAAAATAAAGGCCAGTCACGTTGGAACTCTAGAACTCTTCAACGGCTTGCTGTTGTATAAAGTCATTATAAAATTTATAATAAGAATTAACAACCTTGCAGTCACTATTCATTATTAAATAATGAATTTTGTTAAACTGCACTGTACTTTCTTAACTATAAAAGTTTTTAATGATATAAGCTCATCCCGATGTTACACTCATCAAGAGCTTTCATTTGAATACCCACATGCATTTTTGATATATTTTTCATATATACATATATATCATATATATATAAATATATGAAAAATCGATGTGGGTACTCAAATGAAAGGTCTCGATAAGTGTAATGTCGGGGTGAGCTTATATCATTAAAAATGTCAATATTTCACAAGATACGAGGTCATTTTTTTACTATTGAAGTTTTTAAAGATATAAGCTCATCTTAACGTTACACTCATCGAGAGCTTTCATTTGAGTATCCACATGCATTTATGATATATTTTTCATATATACATATATATAATATATAATATATGTAAATATATCATATTTAAAAATATCATTAGTTAACAAGATAGCAATATCAGTTCTTAATTATTGACATTTTCAAAGATATAAGCTCATCTCGATGTTACACTTATCAAGAGCTTTCATTTGAGTACCCACATGGCATTTTTGATATATATTTCATATATACATATATATAATATATATAAATATATAAAATATATGAAAAATTGATGTGGGTACTCAAATGAAAGGTCTCGATGAGTGTAACATCGGGATGAGCTTATATTTTTAAAAATTTCAATATTTCACAAGATAAAAGTTAATTTCTTAATTATGTATCTAGAGGTAGAGTATTTTCAAATGCAGCCTAAATACTTATCATAATAAATTGACACTAAATTTTACAAAAAAAAAAAAAAAAAAACGATTTTATCATGTGATTATCCTGGAAACAAAATTTTTCTTATTCTATTAATAATATAGATTTTATAAATTTTGTTAAGGTATTTTTAGTTAACAAAAACCAAGCAGAGGGTATTGAACAATAACTTAGTGATATTGTAAAAGTTTTAATGAATTTATTAATTGAAAGTTGATAGAAATGTTTCGGGTTTAAATTATCAGGGGTTTGTAGTTTAGTGTAGCGAGTGTTCTTAAGCAGATAAAAAAAAAAAAGTAATTACGTCTTTTATATTTATTGAGTTTCTGTAGACTAACGACGGAGGGACCAGTTGGTTCGATGTTGGGATAAGTAATTGAATTAACTTCTCTTCTAGTGTCAATATCCAAGTAAATAGACCCGAGTTCTATAACTATTACTTTTAGAGTAAATTTCCGAAGTAATTGTCCGTAAACAAAAAATCGATATAAATTATTTATTAATAGCATTGAAAAGTAAATATCAATAATGTTTATTTGTTTTATCACTTATTTTGACAGCCAATCCAATTACACGTGACTGATGATAAAAAAAAACCGGAGGTCTCGGATGGAGGTAAAGACATGATGAAGGATACTTCAGCTACGACAGCAACCAACACCGCTACAAAGGAAACTAGTGAAGTGGATAGAGGGAAAAATAAAAAAGACATGGGTCCCTGGCGACTTCCAACCCCGACCTCGATGATATCGAGCCAAGGAAATCCGTTGACTCCCATCAGCTCTCCTCAATATTTATCTCCCAACGTGTTCCAAGGGCGCAACTCCCTTTGTTCCGTCCATGGTAAGTGCTTATTGCTAATATAATTACTGTTGAATTTACCAACACTTATGAATACTGACCTTTAACAAAATTTTGATAAAAACTATTCAGGGTTATTATTTATTTATTTATTGCATAAGAACGCCGATCGGCAGTGTACATTAATTATAACAATCAATTATTTTAAGTGATATTTGAATTTAATCTATACTAACAAATGGATCCATCCAATATATTGGTTATGTTTCTACACTAGGCAGATTTCTTCACTTATGAGACCTGCAATTTCTTTGACTGAAACTTTCAATGCTCATTAAAAATTTTTTTTTTCACATCAATTATTATTCATTTTTGTAAGAAAGACACGGGAATGTTATAATGATTGCACATTGAAAGTTACAATGAATATTAGCTCGAATAATTACATGGATAAAAGATGCATCCCAATTCCATACAATTGGGAAAGTGGGGTAACAGCTAGTATAAATATAAATAATGAGAATGAGGCCAAAAATAAAACCAAAAAAAATATGTGATATTGTGAATGTATCATAGCACCTTAAAACAATAAGAGATAGTACCACAGATACGATTTTTAATGATATCTTCGAAGCAAAAGCAATTCAAAAATTGCATCGGGTCATCCAGATTCAGAATTACCATAACAGGTTGAATATTTTTCAGACTACAATCTCAGAAGAAGAAGGCCGATGACTCTGAAGATTGGACCCAGACTAGTTCCTCACAAAAGCACCTCAGCACCAACGAGCACCACGGACGGCGAGTGGCCAGCACATAGGTGAGTTTTTTTATTCAAATTTAAAAATATCCCGGTAGAGATCTTTAAGGAGCTTTTATGATTACCCGCGAGCTTTTTTATCAGCAAATGCTATAAATGTCGGTACAGGCGGCTGATAAAGTAGAAGCAGAGCTTGAAAGCTCTGGGGTGAATTGAGGGTAAGTGGTGGATGTCTGAGAAAACATTATAATGATAACTGATGTAGAGGGCAAGCAGGATTCCCCCGGGTGTATTACCAAGAGATTTAGCAGTAAGTTTGTTCAGAAGCTTAGCCGAGCTTTCAACAGCTTGCTCTGGGATTACGACTGTAGGGTATTTTTGGCGGACAAATGTTTGTATTCAGTACTATGTATACTGGCATACTACTCTGTATACATTACCTACTATACACTGAAGACTAAACACTCTACTCTGGTAGTGAAGTGTAGCGGCGTTGGCGCGGTAACCACAACATTCTGAGTTGAGCTTTCACCGTTTAACGTACAAACGCGTGATTTCAGTACGATAGTGGTCAGACGGTAGTTGTCTTGCACTGGAGGCACGTGTAACTAATCCGCCGGTGATTTGTTTCAATAAAATTGATAATATTTATTAAACTGTTATTTTTAGACTTAGATTTAGAACTAGAGCTTCAGCTATGACTTTAGATCTGGAACTGATAACAATTGTACTGCTTTCGCGTATAAGTAGCTCATAAATAAATAACTAAATAATATAAAGAATGATAATGATAATGGGGATTTTTGGTCGGATGTGAAGTTATCGATTGTGATTCAGTGTAAAGTTTATCGTGACAAAGCTTTTTAACAGCGATAGAATTGTACGGTTTCAATTGCAGGTGCAATTGTCTTTGTAGTTTGAGTCGTAGTTTCTGATTTAAATTATATAGTAACGTGTTTTGGATTAGTAGTCTTTGTACGTATAATAAATTATACATATTGTTATTTATAGTAAGTAGTTGCCCTGTCTGTATATTATTATTTAACAGGGCATTTAGTTTTATCGGTAAAGTTTTTTATTAGTTAACAGGAGTTAGACAATAAAGACAAATTGTTTTTCGTTTATTATACATAAAACGTGCAATGAATTTACGATTAACTCACGGTTGTTCTGAGGACGCCTCTGCAAATAGAAATCGATAGTTGATTATTATTTAGGAAAGTTTTTGCTAAAATAATTGATTATGTTTGTGATGTTGAGTTGTGAGTAGTGGGTACTGATGGCTTTTAAAACTTTTCAAGTAAATATTGGAATTTTTAACTTATATAGATTGTAAATATTTAATATTTGGATTTCATATTCTGGATATTAATTATTGGGAATATTGTCTGGTAATACCGTTTGTTTTATTTCATTTTTTTAATATTAAATTGAATTTATTCTGGGGAGGGAAATTTTATCTGAGGAAAGTTTTATGGGTAAATAAAATAAAATAAGAGAGGAGAATAGAGCCGAGGAAGGAAAGTAATGAAATACCCGAATAAGTGCGAAATGTTGTCACGTCGCGCGTGCAGTGAGAGCGGACCACATCCCGCTGATGTTTACGTGGGAGCTGGAGCTAATAAAAATGCACCCGGTAATTGCTCTGGGCATCTCTGGGGCAAGCGCCATCATGGACCAGCCTCAGCACCTGTGCTTAGTCACGCAAGCAGTCGCGCTCCCCAGCCTATTATCTTGAGGACAAGAAGAAGTTGGCCGGCTGCTCCCAGTAGATGTAGGAGGTGAGATCTTGTTTTATTGTGTAAGCTTCTGTTATGCAGCAGGATATTGTATTTTGGATTATATATAATTTTAGAGAGAGATTATTAATCACTCAAGTGTAGATTTATGTTTAATTACTATCATCCCCTGATTAAAGTTGTCACTGGGTGGATAATGCCCGGGGTTGATCCAAGATTAAAAGAACGGTGTCTTTTAGTCAGGGTAAACCGGATCTGTTAAATATTCATGAAAATAATACCTTTCTTTATTTTTTTTTTTTATTTTTTCGTCACGAATGCTGGGAAAAATTGTTTTAAAGTTTACAGCAAAATGGTCTTTTTATTTAACCATCAGGAAATATTGTATGTAAAGACTTTGGGAAAACATTATCCTAAAAGGCTTTTCAAAAATATTATACTTTAAATTACTGAGGTAAATTTCTTTTTATTTAAATTACCGAGTAAAAAAAGCTGTTCGGATAAATTTTTAAAACGTTTTAAGGTTTGTTATTGTGATATATATTTTGTAGCTTATTTTAAGGTAGATTTATAAATTTATTGGCAGTGTAATTTTATGAGAATTTTTTAAAAGATGTCTTTGGTTGTAAAAATTTATTGAATTGATTTTTTTTTTCTGGAAAGTAATTTTAATAAGCTTTTATAGATAACAAAATTGATATAGAAAATATTTATTTACTGATAAATTATTATTATTAAAATTTCATAGACTTGAAAGAAAACAAGAAGGTAAAAAAAAAAAAGCTATAATAAGATGTGAGTAATATATTTTATATAAAAATTCAAACAAGAGCTTTAATAAAAATTTTTTTTAAAAGCAATTTTAATAAAACTTTTTTTTTGTAGGATTTCCATATAAATGATGAGTAAAACATTTCCATTATAATTTTCATAAAAGGGTTTTCTTGAGAGGCTTACCAAAGTAAAGTTTTATTTAATGAAACCCGAATCAGAAATTAACACATAAAATTTAATAATATTAAAATGAAAATTTATTATGACATATTTAATATTTATTATTAAATAAAAAGGAGCAGCAAATAAACAGCGAATAGTTGCTAGGAATTAGCATAAGCATAAGCAGTAAAACAAGTTGATAACAAAGCGTTGCGTGTGCTGTTAAATAGCTGCAGTAATGGAGGAATAGTACGGCATAGCATGTTGCAGGTGAAATGGTAAAATAGTGCGGGACTTCCGCGGGCGGTCAGCACCCGCACGAGATCTTTTACCGGGTAATAACCTCGCCGGCAACATTGAGTGCATGACTATGTGCTTGCTGGAAAGTTTTGCGAGTAAAACACCCACACTGATAAAAGATATTAGATGTAGGTATGTATAAATGTACGATATACATCTATACTTACTAGGAAACCAAAGATGTTTATACTAAGCGCTTGCCTAGAGCACAAAAGTCCTGTCCAAGTATTGACCCGTCTGTCAATGTCTATTCCTTGCACGATCTTTGAGGGATGTGAAAATAAGTTTAACTGTTGATTAGATCTCTATGCCTCCGGGCTTTAGTCTCTTGGTAATATACCCGTTTTTTTATCTTATAATATTGAACTACCCCCAAGTACCGAGCCGACAGAGAGACGAGGGAAAAAATAAGAGCTCATAAAAACCAAATGCTTGGAAAATCAACTTTTAAGATTGATTGTTTACGTCAATCTCTACACTAATTCCACAAAACCAATATCTTTTTTATTCCTTCTTCACTTTTATTTATTATCATTACGCTTTTTTATTTATATTTATATTTTTATTTATCACCCTCCTTTCTGACAGTAATTATTAACTCGGATAATCAAACATTTACTGTTTCTCTAGGTAATAATTATCCCTTTGTTTTAGTTTTTCCAACTTCCCTATTGCGTGATTTCGTTTAATCTATTTGTTATTATCAATACTTAGTACATAAATTATTAGAAAAAAAAAAAAAAAAAAGACAAAACAGAAAAAATAAAAGCATAATTAAGTAATTCCATTACTTATCATGTAATTATATTTATTGTTCATTTTCGCAGTTATCTCATGATCTGCATTTAATATTCATAAGCTCAAACGCGGTGAAAATTTATTGTTTTACCAGGAAAAAATTTTAGAGTAATTAATTATTATAATATTAATTAATCTTCTTACTCTCATATTCAATTACAATATTCTGCTATAATAATAATAATAATAATAATAATTATTATTATTATTATATTAATAAAAATAATTAGAATCTATATTATTAAGAGAATAAGCAAAATTTTGTGGCCAGTGTATTTATATGATAAAATGGGTTTTTATGGTTAAATTTGGTATCGTTGGAAAGAAAAATTCACTAGTATCTTGTAAACAATTGACATTTCTTAAGATATAAGCTCATCCCGATGTTACACTCATCAAGACCTTTCATTTGAGTACCCACATCAATTTTTCATATATTTTATATATTTATATATTTTACAAATACCATATATATAAAATATATCAAAAATGCCATGTTGGTACTTAAACGAAAGGTCTCGATGAGTGTATCATCGAAATAAGTTTATATTTTAAAAAATGTCAATAATTAAGAAATGACCTTGTATTTTGTGAACTATTGACATTTATAAAGATATAAGCTCATCTTGACGTTACACTCATCAAGCCCTTTCATTTAAGTACCCATATCAATTTTTCATATATTTATATATATTATATATATGTACATATATATGATATATATGAAAATGCATGTGGGTATACTTGAATGAAAGCTCTTGATGAGTGTAACATTAGAATGAGCTTATATCTTTAAAAAGTTTGGAAAATCCAAAAGTGTACGCCTCATAACGCTCATTCATTTTTTAAGAAAAAAATTAATTGCGTAATTGATAAAAAAAAAAAAATTATAATTAAGTAATTTCTTACAGAGTATTTTTAATTTTTTTTTCGAATATCGGCGCCCTTTCTTCTTGTCATGCGCGCACGCAGTCTAAAAAAATCTAGCTTGATCAAGTGGCGCCATAGTTTTCACGTGACAAATAAGGAAAGTTCGTTTAGCTTTGTACGGTTGTATCGTAGTAAATTTTAATAAAAATTCAATTTAAAAAAAAATACGTAAGCTAGGCCACTGATATGCAATACGGACCCAGTTCATCGAATTCTTAAACTAATAAAAAAGATCCGGTCTTGTAGTATCAATTTGTTCGGGAGTAATCGTTGGTACATCCAAAATGGGGTGACATCCGGACGTCCATGTAAAATTTTTTTCAAAACGTTTTTTTTTTCAAAATAGCAACATGAAATGATT